CAGAAAGAGAGAGAGAGAGAGAGAGAGAGAGAGAGAGAGAGAGAGAGAGAGAGAGAGAGAGAGAGAGACGCGTACATCAGACCACGTGTCTTTTGTTTGTTTGTTTGTTTGTGTGCTCATTTCAAAAACATCGCGGACATTCAGCAGGAAAGAGGGGGACGGATGACGATGAGTGACAAGGGCTGTGACAGCGGCACGCAGCACGCAGCAGACGTGCATCGCACGTCGTTGACCAATGATGAAATTGGTGTGTGTGTGTGCGTGCGTGCGTGCGTGTGTGTGTGGGTGTGTGTGTGTGCGTGCGTGTGTGTGTGGGTGTGTGTGTGTGCGTGCGTGCGTGCGTGTGTGTGTGTGTGTGTGTGTGTGTGCGTGCGTGCGTGTGTGTGCGTGTGTGTGTGTGTGTGTGTGTGCTCACACGTTTGCGTGTTTCCTCGTAATCGCCTTCACCAACACGCACACACGCGCGCACACATGCACCCACATGGACCCACATGGACCCACATGCACACATGCACGTGTGCATGCTCCACAACAGGGCGATACAGCCGTCAGATGATCTTGCCCTGTATGGGCTTGGCAGGTGTGTGATAGGGCTGTGCTTGCGCCTTTTTTTTTTGTGGCTCTGTGCCGTGCTGTGCCTCTCAGGCCATCTGTGCCCCAACAAGCAATGACGGTTGCTGTGTTTGCGACTCTGGCACATCGCTTGTTCACGAACGGTACAGGACAACTGGCGCTTGTGAACGCCAAGGTGCTTGTGGTTGGTGCTGGTGGACTGGGCTGCCCTGTTGGCATGTATCTCGCCGCCGCCGGCATCGGTGAGTGCGGCATATGTGTATACGGTGGCGTGTCATGTGTGCCATGTGTGTGCTTGCGTGTGCGTGTGCGTGTGCGTGTGCGTGTGCGTGCGTGCGTTGATCGTGCGTGCGTGCGTGTGAGTGTGTGAGTGTGTGGGTGCTTGTACACGTGTGTGACTCGATGCAACGGCTACACCGTGGTGATTGGCTGACTGAGTGTGCGCACGTGTGTCGGCACTGTGGTCAGCAAACGCGAACCTCGCTCTGCACTGGAGCTAGCGAACCTCCGTTCCTTCAGGTGCACAACTGTACAACTATACACTCCAACCGTCGCACTGATGCACCCACCCACCCACCCACCCACCCCACACCCCCCCCCCCCACACACACGTCTGCATGTGCTCACAGGCACGCTAGGGTTTGTGGACGACGACACGGTTGACGTGTCCAACCTTCACCGTCAAGTGCTGCACACAGAGGATCGGGTGGGTGTGCACAAAGTGGACTCCATCATAGCCAGCTTAAAGAGGTACATCCCATCACGGATCCTGCATACACCTCTCACATTCGACGCGTGACCTGTCTTCAACCCCTTCCTTCCCCATCCCCACCACTGGCACTTTCTCACCTGTGCACACTTGCACGCTTGCACTCCTGCACGTGGTGACACGAAACAGCCTCAACTCCAATGTGCATTTTGTTGCCCACAAGTGTCGGCTGACCCCAAGCAACGCCCTGGCCGTCATGAGGGGATACGACGTTGTTGTGGACGCCACAGGTGCGTGCGTGTGCGCGCGAATGTGGAAGTGCGTGATGTTCGTGCACATCTACTCAAGTGTGTGGGTGAGTGTGTATACGCGCATGTGCGTCAGTACAAGTGTCATGCGTTGATATGAACCCTGGTGTGCGTGCTGCATGGCCACGACAACACAAGGCGCACCAGTCCATCACGAACCATGACACACGCCCGTTTCTCAGCACGCCCACCTTGCCCCCCACCCATATCCCTGCAGACAATGCGCCAACACGGTACCTTGTCAACGACGCGTGTGTCCTGCTCGACCTCCCCCTCGTGTCTGGCAGTGCGCTGCGCACAGACGGACAGCTCACCGTGTACAACTACAAAGGTGGGCTGCCCAGTCGGTCGTCGCAAACCCCACATGTCTACAGTGCCTGTGCTGCCAATATATCATGTATGCGTGTGCGTGCGTGTTTGTGCATGTGCGTGCGTGTTTGTGCGCGTGTGCGCGTTGCGCACATGACGTGTATACTGCCGTGCCCCTCATTTGACTGCTTCACCGTGTGCCTGCTTGTGTGCGTGTACGTGTCTACAGGCTCGCCGTGCTATCGGTGCCTGTTTCCCGACCCCCCACCCGCTTCCACAGTCACCAACTGCTCAGATGGAGGCGTCATCGGCGTACGTGCGCATGTGTGTGCATGTATGTATGACCATGTGTGCGTATGACCATGTGTGCGTGTGTGTGTGTGTGCGCGTGTGCGTGTTCATGTATGTGCGTTGCAGTAGTGTGCGCCGTGAACGTCGGCCTCTGATTTGCTGCTGCTTTCATGCCATGCTCATCTGCGTGTGTGCGTACGCGTGTACATGTGCATGTGTGTGTTTATGTTCGTATGTGTATGCGTGTATGCGTGTATGCGTGTGTGTATGCGTGTGTGTGTGTGTGTGTGTGTGTGTGTGTGTGTGTGTGTGTGTGTGTGTGTGTGTGTGTGTGTGTGTGTGTGTGTGTGAGACGTCGACGCAACAGAAAGGTAGGGAATGCGGGGGAGTGATGACAGACTAGTCATGGTTGCTGAAGCATCAGTGAGCTATGGACATCACGA